CTGTACCTATCTAAATATTATTTACCTACTTATAACAAGTTAATAACTGATTTTTGAATAGGTACACTAAAATAAAATAGACACACTTAAAAAAAATACCAATTAACATACAAAATTAAATAACCTTAAATCCTAGTAGTATAATTTAAAATGTAATTTTTTTATTATTTCATTATCTTTTCAACTTAAAAATATCCCATGTACTAGTATATCAAATCATTTGTTAAAAAATGTTGATACAATTTTCCAATATACACTATAATATTATTCTAATCTATTTTAATTATTATTTATGAATAAAACGTTTGATAAAATTATAATTTTTTTCACTTGCTTAAACTTCAAAATGTCTAGAAAGTACTCAAGACAGCATTATAATCGATTAATTAGGAATCATATATAGGAATATTATTAAAAGCTTACATGCGAATGTAGAAATTAAATCTGAACCATCCTCTTCAATTGAAATTGCATCTATACAAACTTCTTCTAAAAATGAGCCACATAATGAGTTCATGGATAATAATATATCTTTTTTAAATAATTCTGTAAATCAAAATCTAAAAGAATGTGAATTAAATTCCCTTGAACATTATGAACAAATTAATAATATGGAACACAGTGAGGACAATAGTGAATCTAGCTTTGATTGTAATACTATAGCAGCTGATGACGAATCAGATGGTGAAGAAAATAAATATGAAAAGATTTTGAATATTAATTCAGTTGAAGTAATGTCCCATGATCTTCATAGTTGGGCAGTTAAACATAGAATACCTCATATTGTATTAAAAGATCTACTATCAATATTGAGGAAAAGTGCTGATTTTTCTATGTTACCTAAAGACCCTAGAACATTTCTACAGACTCCCAGGAATACAATAATTCATAATGTCAATTCTAGTCATTATTGTCACATTGGAATTATAAATGGTTTAAATAATTTGTTTAAAAACAGAGTAGACGCCATTCCTAWAGTAATAAGATTAGCAATTAATATAGATGGACTTCCATTAAGTAAATCATCCGGAAGTCAGCTTTATAGGTATGGTAAAAAACTGTAATCAAAATAGTATATTTCCAATCGGAATATATCATGGTTATRAAAAACCTTCAGATTTTAATGAACTATTGTATAAATTTGTTGAAGAAGTAGCTGACATTTCTGGGAAGTCCATTATAGTTTGTGGTAAAGAAACAATTTTTGAGATAGAAATGTTGCTTTTTGATGCATTTGCCAAATCTAG